TGCTAACCAGAAGTCTGGTGGTTCAAACCCACCAGCCACTCCTCGGAAGGAAGGTTGGGCAATCCTACTTCCGTAGTGATACTGCCTCAGAAACCCAAGGAGGGGTCGCTATGAGTCGGGGCCGACTCGACGGCAAAATAACAACAACAATAACAAGCAGAGAAGCAGAGTGCCATGGGAGGGGTGGCTGGTATCAGAATGGGTAAAAAGGTGGGAGAGAGGAGGAATTAGCTTCGGGCAATTGATGCTGACAATGATTCTTCTCCCCTCTTGTAAAGTTACAGGAGGTCAGATGCACCTACCATGCCAGGCCAATTTTTTCTACACCTTTATTGTGTTTAGAAGAAAAAGTAGAGAGCTAATTTCTACATGTAATATTTTCCAATTATAAACCATTTTGGGTTGGAATTCAAAGTGGTGAAATGACAAGCAAAGGCACAAAAACCTAGGGAGTCAGGTGATCGGGTTTCTGTTGTTGTTGTTAGGTGCCACCGAGTCATCTCCAACCCACAGTGACCCCATGCACAGCAGAATGAAACACTGCCTGGTCTTGTGCCAGCCTCATGATCCTTGCTATACATGAGCCCATCGCTGCAGCTACTCTATCCATCCATCTCGTTGAGGGCCTTCTCCATCTTTGTTGACCTTCCACTTTATCAAGCATGATATCTGTGGTAGTTATGTTTGTGTGTCAACTTGGCTGGGCCTGGATGAGTGGCTGGGCAGCTGGTGGTAGTTATGCCCCATGATGAGATTGGCAATCACCTCCATGGTGGGATCTACCACAAGCAGCTGAGTAGCTGCCTTTGGGATGTGGCCTGCTTCCTGTATATAAGGAGAGGCCTTGGGAATGGTCTCTAGCTTATGGCACACTTGGATCCTGCATGTAGCCGTGTTGTTGTTCAGCAGCTTGCCATGCTCTGCTGACCTTGGGACTTACAATGGATTTGAAGTAATGGCCTTGTGTGGGTTGTTACATCGGGACTGTGTCTTTTTACTTGTCAACCTTGGGTTTGTCAGCCTAAGCAGCCAGCAGCTGAGTGAAGAAAAGCCCCCAGCTTCAGTGGGCCGGAAGCAGGAGGCAGAGCTGCAACCCAAGGTTGAGGGGCTTTCACCCAGCCCCTAGAGCCTGGCACTTTGAACTTGGACTTAAAACTGTAAGAGAATAACCTCCTGTTTGTTAAGGCCATCCCATTTGTGGTATATACTTGTCAGAGTGGCACTAGGTGACCAGAACAATATCCTTCTCCAGGGAATGGTTCCTTCTGACAACATGACCAAAGTAGGTGAGACGAAGTCTGACCATTTTTGCTTTCAAGGAGCAGTGCTTCAAGTCATCCTCACTTTCAGCAAGCAAAACTGTGTCCTCTGCATATCACAGGTTGTTAATGAGTCTTCCTCCAATCCTGATGCCATGTTCTTCTTCGTATAATCCAACTTCTCAGATTACTTGCTCAGCATACAAATTGAATAAGTATGCTGAAAGGATACAACCCTGATGCACTCCCTTCTTGATTTTGAACCATGCAGTATCCCTTATTCTGTTCAAATGACAGCCTCCTGATCTATGTACAGGTTCCTCATGAGTATAATCAAGTGTTCTGGAATTCCCATTCTTCTTGATGTTATCCATAATTTGTTATGATCCACACAATCACA